TCTCATACTTTAGTAACAAGAGGCAAACTGTAGCATGGGAGGCAGGAGACTCGTGGTATGCGCATTAGGTGAGGTGCTGTTGGGTTGTGTCTGGGTAAGTTGGTCATCATGGTGGTGGCTGGACTGAATCCAGGTAGAGTTGGTCACCATAGAAATGGCTGAGGTAAAACAAGTAGCCAAGGGCCTTGGAGACAGATGTGACTGCCAGAATTGGTGGTGAAACATAAGAGATGTTTGACACAGTACACCCCATGTACCACTCGATGCTGCTCATTTCTTCCTATTATATCTGGACTCCTACCTCAATATGAATTCACTAGTATGGGAACAAAATGCCCTCACTCCTTCCAAGAGGGGAGGTACAAGTCCAATCATTCATTCACAAAATCCCCTTGCATTTGGTAGCCAGCCACAACCTCAGTAAACGCTTCAGGAGCAAGAGTTAGTGAAACAAGCTATAGGTCTCTGTGGCTGCAGCTGGCCCCAAGCCTGAAAGTGGTAATCATATCATCTCCTTCCTCCACCATTCATTCTAGATTGTCTTGCTCTTGGCTAATACTTTTATTGGCCTGATTGATTTCCAGTTTAGTGACCTAAACTTTTCATTACTGAAGGGTCTGATCTTTTAGTTACCTTGCCCTCATCATGTTATAGTTGTTACAATTGCTTATTTTCTGTTATCACTGGGTGTGGAAGTAGCAAGAGATGTCCCAGTGAAGCCCCGGGGCTCCAGACAGACTCCTCCTGACTCTTGTGTAGAAAAGCAACCCTGGCCCCTGGTAATTAAGAGCATTACCTTGCCAGTGTGATAATGCCTCCACCTCCAGGCATAATAGCCCAAAGTGTCCGGATGGTAATCACAGCACCCAGTTCAGTGGAACTCATGCCATGTCCCTTGGGACACATGCTTTCCCTCCTCTGATCCATACAGAGTCTAAAATTGTGGGGACAATTTAAATGCATCTGGGTTATTTAAACCATCTGTAAATAGGTCAACTGCTCTCCCTCCCTTGCCCATCCTGTTAACTGAGGTGTTGTTTGAACTTGTTCACAGTTCACAAATCATGTAATTTTTTTATGAACATAGGGGTTTTAAAAGAACAATAAACTATCTCTGCTTTAAAGGACAACTGTTACTGGCATTCTTTTCTCCATCGTCCAAAACTGAGGTGGTTCTTTTATCTTCTGATTTGAGATGCTCTAAATAAAGACCATTCTTCTCTATCCCACAGGCCTTTGTTTCGTTTCCTGATTTAGTTCTCGTAGGTCTACCTACATTCATGAAGCCTTTGCCCTTAGGATCTGGCTGGGACCAATATTTATAGATCTTGTATTTTAGCCTAATGAAGTTCTTAGCCCTGAGGACTCAGTGGTGGCCCAGGCCAACTTGGCCATTTTTACCCTCATGAAATTTAGAGCTGGGAATTCAACAATAAGCAGGTAAACAAGATAATATCATCCAGTGATAAGTGCTTTGAAGAAAGCTTAACATGTTTAGGTCTTCTCTGAGGATGCAGGACACGCATGATGAAATCTGAATGTCAAAAGGGGTCAGCCATATGAGGGCTCAAAGAAAGGCTCCAGGCAGAAGGTACTGCAAGTGCAAAGTCCCTGAGGTACAAATGAGAATAATGAGGTGGAGGCTTGAGAATAATGAGTTCTCAGTAATGAGGTCAGAGAAGCAGTAGGGCCAGATCACGTAGGGCCTTGTAGGTCATGGTATGGAGCTTGCATTCTATTCTGAGGACAATGAGAAGCCAATAGAGGGTTTTGGGCCAGGGAATGATAGGATCTGATTTACTTTTTAAAAATGATTGTGTCACCGCCATGACCTTGTGAGGGAGGAACTATTACTCTGTTTACAATTGAGAGGTAATCAAATGGAGGTTTAGAGAGGGTTACCTTGCCAAAGTACACAGTCAATGGTGGCATCAGAGTTTGTACTCAGGTCTCCCTGAAGAGCAGAGAGGAATGTGTAACTTATGTAAGGCAAAACTTTGCCTTCAACCCTTAATTTGTTTCATCAGTCCAAGTACGTCCAGCAGAAGCCTGAGGCTCTATAACATACTATTGGGTGCTGGTATTACCTTTCTCATCCCTTCTCTTACTTTTTGGATGAATCTAGATGAGTCACCTTAATTCTTGTTGGTTCCACTTAACCTATAATGACTAATTTGATTTGGTAGGAGGCCAAACAAAAACTGTTGCTGATATCTCAATGGTCTGCTTTACTCAGCAATCAAGATGCCATGGCTTTAACTCATAGGAAATATTTTATGTTCCAACTACTCAGAAATCGAGGGCTTGTTCTAGGATTCCATGACTCAGTAGGACAGAATTTGTCCTTTACTAAGAACAAAATGGTAAGGCGTCAGCAAAATCTGATTACTAGGATTAGAGAAACAGATATTCATTAGATTCTCTGTGACATCTCTCAGTCACAAATCCCAGTGTGTTATAAGCATAGAATTGGGACTCAGAAACCTCTCCCATACACACACATCCTTCCAGAGAGTGATGAAATTAATTTTCTATTAAACTGTGTCTTCTTAGAGAGAAGCGCTGTGTCCTGTTTACTTTTGCAGCATCTTATCCAGAGCCATTCAATAAATATTCGTTGAATGAATTCCTAAAATCCGTAGATGGATATAATTAATACATCTATTAAAAAGGTCTTTGGAATGCTCTAGAACTGCATTTCCAACACAAAAGCCACTCTCTGTGTGCGGCAATTGAGTACTTGAAAAGTGGCTAATCCAAAAAGAGGTGTGGGGTTAAGTGTAAAACACATATCAGATTTTTGAAGACAATACAAAAAAAAAAACCATATTTGGGATAGACTGTGTTAAATCAAATATATTACTAAAGTTAATTTCACCTGTTAAATGTGGCTCCTAGAGTGTTTTAAATTCTGCATGTGGCTCACATTATATTTTGATCGGCTAGCACTGCTCTAAAAGTTAAAATAAAGGCCAAGGAAAAACACTTCTTAAAGGAGAGGGCAAGGTGATAATTAATGACACTTCCACACTCTTCACCTTGAATTTATTAAAAAAAAAAAAATCTTATGTTTTTTCCAAGGCCAGCCTCTTCCAGGGCAAAGGAGACCATGACAGTCAGAGGGGCAGACTGGTCACTCACAAGCTGGCTTGCTCTTATGGCTATTTTCCTAAAAACTGAGTTATCACCATTTTAAAATGGGAGATTACACATGCAGACCCAAATTTTAGGCGCTCTCTAAAAATGAGAAGTTCTGGCTATACCGGTCTTACACCAAAGCCATCAGCTGCAGCTAAAAGCAGAAATCATCTTTGTTTGGACAGGGAAGGGACTCTCCAGTTTGCCATTTTGTATGCCCCACACTGAGGCACATTCCTATGGTGGAATTAAAAAAAAAAAAAAAAGAAGTGAAATATTTCTTGGAACTATGTCTTTATTCAAAGAAAACAGAAATGTAGACCAAGAATGTGTATGTCTCTTTGAGGAAATGAAAAACATCCAATGGTGTTTAATATAACTACAAAGTATGTCTCTCGAGGGAGTACATCTTAAATCAGAATTGTGCAACAAATCCAGAGGGAATCTGACTTGGCCATCCCTCATCTAGTTTGTCTGAATCCAACATTACGTGAGATGTTGGACAGTATGTCTCCTCCGAGCTTTGAGTCGATATAATAAATTCTCTAAAGTCATAGCTATTGACTTCCAATTTTACCTTAAGGGTGTAAGAAAAATTCCAAGACATTTTTGAGAAGTTTGTGCAGACCTGGTAAGAACTGACACACGCCTGAAAGGAAGAAGTAGCCACAACCGAAGTCCTTCCATCTTTTAATGTACTTTTCACAGGACTTAGCTTTCAAAGCACCTTTTCTTGTCTCACCTGGTCAACCTGTGAAGCGGGCAGGGGTGGGATTCTGCAGAAGGGGAGGACACGGGGCGGGGGAGGGCTTTGTCAGGAGTCACATCGGGAGTCTGCACGAGATTTTGACTCCTAAGGCTTTCTGGACAGTGGTCAGAAGAGGCAGATGGCAGGAGAAAAGAAGTGGAAATGCACAAGGGAGATCTGAAGAGAAGTGGCAAGTTGGAAGGGGCAAGGAAAGCACAGAGATTGAGGGGTGGGGTTAAGACTGAGCAAAGGTTGAGGGTCTGCATCCGAGGAGAACGCACTGAGACCACAAGTCACGGTCTACTGGGGAACCTCATGCCACCAATGCAAAACTGAGCCCAGAGAGGAGGTGGTTTCCCCAAGGATGTCCAGCACTTTGCAAGGTTGGCACTTGCACCAGAACCTGTCTCCTGATCCCATTCCGGGATCATCCTTCTGTCAGTCACAAGGAAGACGGCCAGTGGGTGAGAGACGCAAGGCCTGAGGCAGCAGCAGAGTCACTCGCACGGGAGTGGACGGAAAGCTTCGCCATTAAACATCAAAGACCTAGGTAGCTGAATCCAAACAATCCTAGCGAGCGACTTCCCATCAGCGATTTTCCCGCGGCCACAGCCTTCCACAGCTTCCGGCTCGAAGGCGGTGTCAGAAATGCACAACTAGTATTCGGGGACTTTTGGAATCTCCCGAGAGATGGTCAGGAGCGTCTGGAAATGTTAAGGCAGGAATGAAACGTCAAACGGCCGACATTTCGGAACTGCTACAATTTCCTATGAAACGTTGAAGAATATCAGAGATTACGGGGAAATGGTTAGGAGGCGGCCGAAATCTGCCGAGTGGCATTAGGAATTTCCGGAGTTTGTCGAGCATATTCGGGACTTCTCGGCTCTTGGCAATCTCTTTAGAGGTCTTAGGTCCGTAGCGGATCCGTTCTTCGCCGAAATCGTGAGGGCGACTGGTTCCGACAGTCCCTCGGCAATTTCCGGAAGCGTTCGGGATCGGTTCGAAAGTGGCGCCCTCTGGCGGCAGAAACTCTCACTACAGTTACCAGCCCCGGCTGGGCCAGTACGCGCAGACGCAGTTGCGCGCCGGCGGCCGTTCCGACCGGACGTGGTGACTGCTGAGATCAGTTCCGGCGGGTGACGGTGCGGACGGGTCAGAAGCGTAGAGGCGGCGGCAAAATGGCGGCGCCTGAGGAGCGGGATCTAACCCAGGAGCAGACAGAGAAGCTGCTGCAGTTTCAGGTAGCAGCGAGTACACTCGGTGCAGCACGTGCTGCCGCGGGCTGGGAAGGGGGCCTCTACAGGAGCCCAGAACCCTCCTGAGATTAGGCCCGAAGTTCTCAGACCAGCAGGCGGCCCCCTCCCCCCAAGACGCCAACTGCCCTGCTGCCCCCGACCCCCGAACCTCTGTCGGTCCTCGGCCTTGGGTGCTGCCAGACCCGCTTCTGCTCTCGCCCCTCAGCGGGTCAGCTTCCCTGGTGTCCCTTAGCGGCGCCCGTCCTCAGCCATCTTTCCCAGGTCGGACCCTCTCCGCCCAACGACTCTGGATCTACCCGGGACGCTTAATCTCCACTGCGGAGTTGTTCGTTGCGGGTGCTTGGAAAACCTCCTATGAGCATCTCATGCCATTTCCACAAATATTTATTGAGGGCCTCTTGGGTGCCAGGTCTTGTGTTGGGCGCTTTGGTGGGGGAAGGGCAGGCCTGGCCCCCGCCCTAAAGGTGTGGGAGGACACCAAGTAGGGAAACAAATGAATGCAACATTATAAATGTCATCAGTGGCTTCTGACGGGGTTTACTACCTTGGGCTTATTCCTGGAGTCATGTGCTTGACTCTGCTTGAGGAGAGCGGTAACTTGCAGAAATCTGCCTCCTTTTAGTGGATGTGAGGTTAAGAACTTTTCACACTGAGCGCTTTTCTCTGAGTTGGAGAATCTAGGTGGAGAGGACCACTAGGATGGCTAATCTTGGCTGTTAACCTGATGGATACCAATTTTTTTCTAACATATGTATCTTAAAAATGTGTATTCTTAAAAATGTGTACTCCCTAAGGACATTCTGGAGATCAATTGAGTTCATGGGTTTCTGAAAGGCTTTGTAAACTAAAATGGTCCCAAACAGTATTGCTGCTTATTAATCATTATTTAACTTAGGAGAGAATTAAAGGTAATGGTACACTTATTTCCTAATGTAAAATGTGCTAAATGTTTATTAATTTCAGCAATTTACCAAGAACCTTAGCACTCAGGCACTGCTAGTTAGACTATCATTTGAGTATGATGTTGTAAGCACTTTGCTAAACACTTAGCATACTTATCGCATTTAATACAACACTAAGCTTTATACTATTACAATCGCTATTTTACAAATGAGAGGTCTGAGGCTTAAGAAGAAACATGCTTAGGTTGCACAGCTGGTAAGGGGTGGTGTCAGATTTAAAGCCAGGTCCATCTTTACAGAACCTTTCCTTAGCTCTTGACTTGTGTGCTATACAACCTGTGTAAGTATCAGTGTTCAACTGAGTGGTATGCAAATGCTGTCATATTGTCTTTTTTTTTTTTAGCAAGTTCTCACTTTTCTGTAATCACTGTGATTAGATTTCACTGTAATTAATTTTGAAGTGCTTTTTTTTAAATTGAGTAGTGGCACCTGAAATTTATAGGATATTGTTTTAATTATACATTAATTTTAAAAAATTGAGCAATGGGTTGGAAGTGTGTAAATGGAAAAATACTGTCACAGAAGTAGTTGACATTTGATTGCAGTAACTTCGGCAGACCATTTCACCCCCTACAAATCTTCAGGAATAAGCCCTCATGTTAAAATGTAATGAGGTGATGTGAGTTATAACATGATGTACTTAGTCTGCTTCTGGAAGATCATAAATGTGTTAGCATTTCTGAGGTAAAATGCCTAGGAACTTCTGTTTTAGTCTTCATTGGACATCTATGTCAGTAAGAGGTTAGTAGCAGGTTAAAGTTGTATTAAGATTGCTTTATGAAATTATATTTAATAAGGCAAATGTGTTTTACATTTATGTGCTCTTTAAGCATTTGCTGTATCAGAGTCATCATTCAGATTGCTATTAAACAGTCTTTGAAACTTAATAGGTGTCAAGCGCTATACCAGATATTTGATGTACATTAACTCTTTTAAACCTCTGCATAACACTGTAAGGTGTTAGCACCCATTCAGTTTATTGATAAAGAAATAGGTTCTGAGAGGTCACGTAATTTGCACAACTACGAAGTGGCTGGAGATTTAGAAATCCATACCCATAACGTCTATAACCTAATGGAGAGGCCAGTGACATACATGAATAATGAGTATTGTGTAGTTATGTTAGTGCTCAGAGTATGATATGGTATAAACAAAGTGCTGGGGGAATTTAGGGAAGGATAGGAATATTGATAAGGATAGGAGGAGGAGAGAAGAATGGCTTAGTAGTTATCATTAAGTATCTACTAGGCCTTAGGCAAGATGGTAGTTTATTGCCAGTTGTGCTTAATTTTCACTATAGCCTTGCAAAGTGTCAGAGGTGGTATGCCTGCTCCTAGGTGAGGAAGCAGATCTATTTAAGTATTCACTTAAGGTCATTTAACTGTCAAGTAGTGGAGATGGAATTATAGTCAAAAATCTAGTGGGTCCGGATCTGGATTTCAAGGATGGGCTTTTTCCACCGTACTTCGCCACTTTGCAGGAGGAATAGAAGGATTTCAACAAGTGGAGGGCAGGAGGATGTTCAAAGCTGAGGAATCAGCTCAAGGAAGGTATGGACGTGGAGTGTGTTTCTTGTGATGGAGTTAGAGAAATGGAAGTGGAAAACACACGGTTTAAATTTTAATCTGTAGGCATGGGAGCTATCACAATTTTTTCAACCAGGGAGTGACTTACACTAGGTTTCAGGTTTGCTTCAGTAACAATATGGAACATGTGCTTTGAATCTCTACAGGGGTCAGGACAGAACAGGGTGACACTGCTAGGAGCTGGTTCTCAGTATGTTGCTTCATTTGATATATTGAAGTTAGGGAAAGTAAAATATTTTGGATATCTCATGTTTCCTCTATTTTACTTTTTTGTGACATGTGATTCGATCGCAACTCCCTATGGTATACTTATCATGTTTCTCAGTCAGTTTCATGTCTTCCAAGATTTTTGTACTTATCCTTTTCTCTTATTTATTTTGGAACCATTTGAGTATGAATAACTAATGCAGACATTTGTTTTACGCTGTTTCAATGGGAAAGAATAGGTTTTAAGAAGAGCTAATGCAGGTATGGGGAAGGTTACTTTTATTGACGTCCACTTTCCCAAATTTCCAAATATTGACAGACTCCCTTAGTGTCTTGGTTTGCTGCCTTTAGGTTTGAACACTTGGAGAAGGATGACATGAACAGAGAGAAGGGACTAAAGCTATAGCTATCCACAGCCAGTGGAGGAAGACATCATCTCTTTCTGCTTATACTGGAATAAGAAATTTCTTTTCTCTTAAATAAATTTTAAGGTCTGACCCTTGTTCTCTTAAATTATAGAAAATTAGGCCTTAACTCTGGGCTATAGAATCAAACTCATTTTGAAAATTTTCCCTTTTGGCTTCATCTGACTCTTTATTACTTGAAGGAAAAAATACATAGTGTTTTTTGTTCATGTATTTAAAAAAAAAATTATAGAGAGATCTGTTTGAATCTTTTGCCAGGGAATTTGGTGTCGTAGAGAAAATATGAGCTTTTAAACTTGAGGCTACCTTGAATTAGCCTTCCTTCACTTAGCTTCTGGTGAGTTCTGCGACCTTGGGCAAATTCTCACTTTGAATCTTTTCTTGTCTATAAATGGGGATGTTATTACCAAATTCACATCTTTTTTATTTTTTTAATCTTTAAAAATTATTTCAATTAGTTTCAAGTACACATCTTTTTTATTTAACTTAAATTTATCAATACACCTGAAACTAATATAATATATGCCAACTGTAATTTTAAAAAATTATTTTAAAACACCAAGTTAATATATGCTTATTGCAAGTCAGCAGCATAAAATTGTATAAAAAGGTAATTAAATCTCATCTTTTCCCCCCTAATCCTCATTTCCAGGTTATTGTGTATCTTTGGATACTTTTTTCTTCTGCCTATACAGATACACAGATGCTCAATGTATAAGCTCTTACCCTAACTTGCTTTTAACTGAACAAATGTCCTCCATTTTCTGAGGTCTATACTCTAATATGCCCAGGTAGTTTTGCTCTCACAAATTGAGTTGTGCTCTTGACAAGAGTCATTTGTGTTTGCTCTCAAACCAATGTGTGCTCGTTATATTTGTCATATGAATATATTACATAAACCAAGAAAATAGGTCAAAAAGAGTTTTTGTTCATCTGAAAAACATGCTTTGGAAAGGCTGTAGCAGGCAAGCTGCTAGAGAGTTGCTGTTTACTCAGGTATGGGCAGGATAGGTGTAAAGATATCTTTGAGAGAAATCACTCAGGTAAGGATCATGCACTTACTGCTTAGCAAGTGTTTGGGGTTGTCAGGAAATCAAATTAGTGTCTTAGGGACATAGTTTATGCCAGAAAGACTTCAAAGAATATCAGTGGGCCCATTCCCTAAAGAAAAAGGATGGCTTTTATCAAAAGATTGCTGCATAAATGTGTATGCTTTATGTTTAAATAAAGTGTTTAATGTATGAAATGTTTTTATTCCTCACTTTAAGTGACTTTAATTAATTGGCTAGTTATAGGTCCCGTTCTCATTGGAAAAGAGTTCTCTTTGTCTTATTGCAGTAGGATCATATTTTACTTACGAAAGTATAGCATAGTAAGTGGTCATGAAGACAGCCTGGATTTGAATCCTAGCTTCTCTAATTATAGTAAGTCTTCACTTAACACCGAGAAAAGCTTCTGCAACGTTAAGTGAAAAAATATGTAATGAAACCAATTTTGCCATAGGCTAAGTGATAGAAACAAGAGTTAAGTTCCTACAGCTGCTCATCAGTTGTTACAAGGAAACGAAGTTGGACTGAATAATGTTGAGGATCTGCTGTACTTTGTGACTTTGGGAAAGTCACTTCTCTGCCTTAGTTTCTTCATCTATGCACTGGTAATATTACTTACCTCATGGGGTTGTTTCAGTAATTAAATGTTAGTATTCCTAAAGCCCTGGCAAACTTTAAATGCTCGAATATTACACATAATTATTACTGTGTAGTTTTAGTAGACAAGGTAGACAATCAGGCTGTTTTCACTTTTTG